GCACCTTGTCTTTGCCGCAGAAATTCAACGACGATAGCGTGGTGTCTCTGAGGCTCGGGCAGAAAGAGGCCTTGCTGCATTGCCAGCTTCCTGCATTTGGCCACAGCTGCCCTTCAATGCTCTTCAAACGCGGCCAAGGCTTCAAATCTATGCTTTACGGGCGTAGCGGCTGAGCAGCAACTGCTGCATGTGTGATGCGTGGCAGCTGACTCAACCAGCCTCTTCCAGTACTCTGAGCTGCCGCCTGAGGCAACATCAATGCAGTAAGGCATCGAATGAAGTGCAAGATGGCCATCAGCAAGTTCTGGGACACGGGCTTCTTCTGTTCAATGCCGCGCTGCAGGGATATCAGCTCTTCCTCTGCACTCGCCTGCGTAAGCATGATGTGACTCAATCGTGTTTGCCGACGCGGGTTTGCGTGCAAAGCATCGCCAGGTATGAAAGATCGAAATGGCCACCTGAGTGAGGCGAATCTATATAACCGTTATAAACACCCTGTGAAACTCCTATATAAAGCTATACAACCCCTATACAACACCATATAACCCTATAGCCCCAATTTCTTGTGGATCAAGAATGACCTCTGAAGTACAATGCATCGCCTGCAAGCCTGGCCGCCCTGTCGGAATTGAGCCTGCCTGTCTCACCTCAGTGCCATTGGGTTTGGGCTCTAGGGTTTAGGGTTTAGGGTTAGGGTCTAAGGTTTAAGGTCTTGGGTCTAGGGCTTATGGAAGGTTCCTAAATAGTAAAAATCATGGAGACTCAAATGGAAAATGAAATGGACACTGGGTTCACGTACAAGTTTATATAAACCTGATTTAGTGATATTTTGGGAAGAGGGCACCTTAAACCTAAACCCTAAGCCATTAAACCCTAAACCCGGCAGTACCGGGGGATGTCAGCCCTCGCAGTGTGGCTAACAGGCCTGAGGCTGGATCTGTCCTGCTAAAGCATCGCATCCGATGTTTTCCATTATCCCCTATATAACCCTAATTTACTAGACCGTAAACCTGCCAGGGGCCTCGCAAGGGCCCCTCAGGCGCCTGCCAAGGTTTTAGCCTCTAAAAATGTCGGAACAACGCTAAACCCTAAACCCTAAAACCTAAACCCTAAACCCTAAAACCCTAAACCCTAAACTGAACCCTTCCAGGGCGTCCCACAGGCCTCCCAAAGAGCCCTCTCAGGAGGATCCCCTTCAACAATGACAACATCAAGAATACATCCAGAGGATGTACTGGGAACATATTGGGGTTATATGGGGATAATGGAAAAGGAAATGGAAACTACAGGGATTATATAGGGGTTATATGGATTTGTCTTGTTGACCAAGATGGACTGACCTGAGCGTAGATCCTAAACCCTAAGAGGAGTATATAGGTTTGGGTGGCTTGGCCGCCTCACAGGTCGTGGGGTGTGTGAGTTGAGATGGCACTTCGCATGCAGCCATGCGCTTGAAGCGTCGTTCAAACCTAACTATGACTGCTGCCCAGCTAATTCACAGCAGAATCCTGGGCCCTAAACCTTAAACCCTATACAGTAGGTGGACCCCCCACCCAGTAATAGTGACTATAGGGGATAGTAGGGATTATATTAGGGTCCTCTCATATTCCTATTATACCACTACTACAGGGTGGGGGGTCCTCCAAACCTATACACTTAGCCCTAGACCCTAAACCCTGATGAGACAGGTGCCGGCGAATGCGTCTCAGGCCAGGAGCTTGATACGGGAGTCGACTCAACTGCATGGTGGTCTCACGTGGGGGGGGACCCTTAGGAAACCCCTCGAGATATGTAGGAGTAATCTAGGGATCACGGAGGTCACACTTCAGGATGTCTTACGGACCATTTTGAGAAATGCCTACGTGGGCTGCATGCCAAGTGTGCTGCTGAGCAAGGCGACCTAGAACTGATCCTTACGGGCACCAGAGAGAGTCAAAGCAAGTAGGAAGTTGTACCAGAACTGCGCTTTTGAGACAAGCGTTACTGCTCATGCTAGCTGAATACATTGTGTGACCGGGAAACATGCACCCAGCATCCTTTTCATGGCCTAGATGCTGCACCTGCCCTCTTGGGCTCCCAGAAAAGCTTCCTGCATGCTAGCAGCATCTGCCCAAATCCTGGGGCAAGGGAGTAGAAGCAACTCTTCAAACAATGCGAATAGCTTGAGTATCAACACAAGCCATGGGGAGCACTACCCCTGTTGATCCTACATGTCCTTACTAGAGTACCATACTTCCCAAGGTTCTTTTCCATTATCCCGACATTACCTCAATATACTATGGTAATTTCCATTTTCTTTTCCATTATCCCAGTTTTACTACTGTATTTCTTAAGGAGCACTAGAGCCTATCAAGCCTATCTTGCCAATGATTTCGAGCCTCGTTCCTTCTTGCTGCCAGGATCATCGACCTGCTGTGCCATCCAACTGCTACGGAGTAATGCGGCGCACATGGTTTCAAGGAGTGCTGCTCTGTGCTTCGGCATATCCACACCCATTGCTCCCTTAACGCAGCGCTTGAGGATACTGCTGCTGAGCAGGCACAACATCATCCGAGTTCTCTTGTGACACTTCTGCTTCTGCTTCATAGTAGTTCACAAACTGGGCTGAATTAATCGCCTCCCCAAACACTAACTCCTCGCCCCTAATCATACCTGCGCCCAACATAGTAGCATTACATATCCTCGCGAGTATTCAGTATTAGCTGGTGGGGAGATGTATTCTTAAGGAGGGGATCCCATAATATTGAAACTTATCCTTACAAACCCTTGCATGACCACAGCTTCCATTTAGTTTCCTTAAATCCTAAACCCTGAACCCTTCCTAGTAGCTTGCATGTTCTCTTCCACGATGACGATGGCTATAATCCCAATATAACCCTCTATAACCCTAAATAGTCATACATAACCCCAAAATAACGTCTGTAGAACCCCACATAACCCCTACATATTCTTGAGTTAAAAAGCAACCCTGTAAACCCTATAAACCCTAAACCCTTTAACCCTAAAAGAGCTGGTACTGCTGGGCCTGGCCTTCGGGCCTGAAGCAAGGGCTGCAGGGCCTGGGCTAAACCAGGGGCCCTCAATATGAGCTTTAGGCTAAAGGGGGATTATGTGGGGGGTCATATGGGGGACTACTATAGGGGTTAATAAGGGGGATGCTAGGAGTTAAGATAGACACAGACCCGAACATACTGTAATTCTCATTTCCTGGACTCCCGTTCACACAAGGAGATCGGCAATCTCTGTTGGGTGGACCCCCCACACAGTAATAGTGACCCCAAGGAATAATAGGGATTACATTAGGGTGCTCCTATATTCCTATTATACCACTATTACAGGGTCCAAGACCCCTGGGAGGATCTAAAAATTAGATCCCCTATATAGACCCATTATAACCCCTATATAATCCTTATATAATTCCTCGAATGGTTCTAGGGGATCTAATTTTTAGATCCTTCTGGGGGTCTGGGTATTACAGGGTGGGGAGTCCACCTAAAGTCTCTCTGCGTGACCGGCGGGAAGTACCGCGAGGCCTCAGGAGGCACAGGACAAGTCGACAGCTCCTTCCCCGACCCCCAAGAAGGATCTAAAAATTAGATCCCCTAGAACCATTAGAGGAATTCTATAAGGATTATATAGGGGTTATAATGATCAGAGGAATTATATAAGAATTATATAGGGGTTATAATGGGTCTATATAGGGGATCTAATTTTTAGATCCTCCCAGGGGTCTGGGTCCCTACATGTTGCGTCGGCTTATTGAGGCCGCGTCGTCGTGGATCCAGCCTGAGGCACCTCACCATGCTCACGGATGACAGCTTCATTTGGGGATACTACCGTTTTTCGTCCTATAAGATTGGGATCACTAGGAAAACCAGGTGGACAATGAAATGAAAACTTGGATTATGTAGGGGCATGTGCCCTAAACCTCAAAGCACGCATGAACCCTAAGTAGTAGCATGTAGTAGTTTATAGAAATTGGGGGACCTCACTATAATCCTCATAATTGAAACCCCCAGATGGTACCCTGAATTTTGGGAAACTCTCAACCGTAAACTCCTACGCAATTCCAGCTTCCATTTGAATTTCAATTTTTGCCAACTGACTCTCCATGATTAGGGGAACATATCCCCCTAAACCCCCGACCTTCAATAGAACAGTATATGATACCTATAAACCCTAGTAGTTTCCATTTATCTCAATATAGCCCCAATATATCCCCAATACATACCCTATTATAATCTAGTGGCTTCCATTTTCTTGTCCATTATCCCAATATTATAATATAGTACTTTCCATTTTCTTTTCCATTATCCCAATATTATAATATAGTATCTTCCATTTTCTTTTCCATTATCCTTGTTTATGGTGTTGCCCAGCGGCTGCCAGCTGACGAGGACTCTTTGGAGTTTCGTCCTTGCCAGGCAGAGCCAGGGTTTATTGTTTTAGAGTCTCGGTTTAGTTTATCGGAGACTACTGACTCGCATGTCTCTATATATTCTTGCACATCTCCATGTACGATCCTTTGTGGTTGATTGCTGAATCGAGTCAGGCACTATTTCTGAGGAACTGTGCAAACATTGCTCTAACCAAGCCGGTATATGTCCGATTGTGTCTCCAAGGCTTTTGCAAAAGCCTATTGATATTAGTGTATATGTCATTTTCCATTTTCTTTTCCATTTGATTCTCCATTATAGTAGTTTCCATTTTCTTTTCCATTATCCCTATATAAAGGTTGTCATCTTCTTTTTTGCGATGCCGAGGGCTGGCAAGTTGTCGAAGGCTTCTTGTGCCAAATGCCCTACTTATTTGTATTAGGGTTATATAGGGGTTATATGGGGATAATGGAAAATCAAATGGAAACTACTACAATGGGTTATATAGGGATTATGTAGGGTTATATTGCTCAGAGATCTTTAACCTCTCTGAACATGCCACTCATGCAAGGGCTCGAAGGCACATTCGGGCAGGAACACCACCTCATGAAGGCAAAGTGCAAATTACTTGTGACAGGGCTGGTCCTTCGCAGACATGGTCTCCAGAAGCCGTTTCTGCCTGTTTCATGTGGCAGTGACAAAATCCTTCAGGTCAAGGGTCTTTGCCGAGGCTCCACTAAGGTCGGGGCGTTAGATACTGCTTCTGAATCTCTGATCGCATGCCTGTCCACAGAACCAAGATGTAACCAGCTCCAGCTCCACACTGTAATCCACAAGCAGGGGCTACCCTCGAGCTGCTTCTCGACGTCGCCTGCGGTGATTTACCACTCATGCCGCATTGATGCTGTGGAAATACCACTCAAGCGGCTTTTGGACGCCTAGCTCATCTTCTCGGCTTTTGATGTTTCTTTCCCACTCCTTCACAGAGCAGGCATAGTGCTTAGAGGCCACTGAGAAGTCAGCCTCCCTGTGACACATGCATGGTCATTGCAGTCCTGCAAGCGATCCACCTCTGTGTGGATGGCATCACCCACATGCAACAGGACAGCCTGCGCTTGATTTGGCAGAATCGCCGTATATAAAGTCAAGTCAAGTGATCATTCGATCGGCAAGACCAACAAACCACGCTGACAGTCAAAGCGGCGCCCACTACCATTTATGATAATCAGCCACTCCACTTGAAGTGTTAGTCGTGCTGCAATAACGATTAAAAGAGAAAAACAGAAAGGCATGGGTCACAATAAGGGCCGTATATAACTACAGTACATATGTATATATATATATATATTCTGCAACTGTTACAGAGTGGGGGCAGTACCCAACCAATACTGATAATGCCAGTGCCAAAAACCAAATTCTGCGACTTTCAGCAATCTGGGGCTTTCCCAAGATTATGGGTATCTTCTTGGGGGCGGCTATAATAAGGATGATACTATTTTGGGGTTTATATTTGGGGTCCTCCTGTTTTAGCGAAACTACCATCTTGCTACAATTCCTCACCATTCTTCGGAATATCCCTCCTCACCTGGTGCTCCACCAGCTGATCCCGGCTCCTGCTCAGGACAAGCCACAGCCTCTATAGGAAGATCTCATTATTGACATAATGGAAAAATGGAAACTACTATCTAGGTTTTAGGGTTTAAGGTTTAGGGATATGGGGTTTCCCAAAATCAGGGGGTACCAGTTTTGGGGGTCCCCATACAAAGGATTCTAGCAATTTGGGGCCTATATTGGGGTCCCACTCTCTAGGGGAACTACCATATCAGTGTTTTTCTTAATAAGTAAACTCTAAACCTCTCCAATTCCCAAAGTGCAAAGTACTTAAGGTCATACAGGTTTTTCAGTATCTACCGTAGGAAGATATCAGGGTCCAGGGCCCAGGGTTTAGGCATTAGGGCTAGGACATGGGGTTCTCGAAATGGGATACCCTTGGGATCTCAGGGACTTAAACGGATTCTGGGTATCCATATTCAGGTTTCTATCGGGAATGTTGTGAAAAAAACTCGTACATGACACAACTCTTGTCCAACCATGAGCGCTCTGTAGAAATACGCTCACTAGTATGCGCGGGATAGTTCTCCAATTAACGTGGCCAAATCTAACGCTGCAGCAATCCCTAAACCCTACACCCTAAATAGTACTTTCCAATTTCTTTTCCATTATCTTCATATAACCCCTATATACCAAAAAAACGCGGTAAAGCCACTTTGTTCAGACTTAGGAGCTGAAAATGCCGGGCCCCTCCACACAACCCTGCTTGGCCCTGACCGTCAACCCTAAACCCTTCACCTAAACACCAAAACCCAAACCCCACACCCTAACCCCCTAAACCCTAAAATCCCAAACCCCAAGCCCCAAAACCCTCAACCCTGACACAATCCTAGGGGAATAGGAGAAACATCGGGGCTCTGGTCTGGAATGTAGAATAGGGGCAAGGGTTTAGGGATTAGAGTTTTGGGCTTAGGGTTTAGGGTTTGGGGTGTAGAGTTTAGGGTTTGGGTTTAGGGTTTAGGGCTCAGGGCTTAGGGTTTAAAGCTTAGAGCTTCGAGTTTCGCATATAGAGTTTACGAGCCACAATACCCTGACCCACTCTCATGGACAAAATCCTGCAGGCCCCGGGTCTTTTTTGGTCTCCACTGGAGTCTCCCGACCACTGGATACTTTTAATGAGTAGGGGTTGTGGGTACTATAGTATACCTGGGGTCATGTAGGATTTTGTTGATCAATCGTAATAACCCTACCATACCTTGCCCCAACACAAGCCCGAGCTCTACCCTAGCCCAAGCACAGCTCCAGTTTTCCACCCAATCTCGCACATGCTAGCAATTCGGGACTCTTCAACTGCAGGCGAATGTATTCTCCAGACCCGCTTTAAGGCATCGGCAGTGGCCCATCGCTTCTGTCGCTTTGCTGGGACATTTGGCCAGCCGCGCATGAAGCTTTGGGCAACACTGGCAGATCTCCTTAGGGTCCAAGTACAAACACTTGCGTGAACAGCTATGAACCACACGGTGAAGGGTTTAGAAACCCTAAGCCCTAAACCCTAAACCTTCAATGTCAACGTCTCAAAACAAGGATGCGCTGAGGGACCTGAGGGATGCCTGCTAGCGACTGTATGAGGGGCATCTGGAGAAACAACCTTACACCGCAACTAATACTATTACTAATACTATTACCATTAGTACTAGTACGATTACTATTACTATTACTATTACTATTACAATTGCTATTACTGTTACTATTGCTATTACTATTACTATTGCTCTTACGATTACCATTACTATTGCTATTACTATTGCTATTACTATTGCTCTTACTATTACCATTACTATTGCTATTACTATTACTATTATTACTATTACTATTACTATTACTATTACTGATATGTCCAGCCTCAATTACATTAAGCACTTCTGAGGGTTTGACCATCGGGGATTGAAATTAAAACGCATGCAGGGCAAACAACGTCTGTTCGATCATTTTGTTTGCTCCTGTCATGCCACGTTGCAGTGCTTGGTCACGCACACAACGATGGCCAAAAGAATGGGTTGGCGCTCTGATAGTTAACTATGTCAAGCAACTCGGGGCCATGAGGAAGCAACTCCTCAATACAAAGCGGGCCTGTGCAACGCGCTGTTGATAAAAAGGCATGAGAACCACTGCTGACATATGAGCCATGATCTAAACTCCTAGTATCCTCCTTAATAACCCCTATAATGCTCCCCAAAAAATTCCCTATACGACCCCCCGTTAAGGAGTTTGATTTTGGCTTATATGGCTGTCAAGATTCTTTTGCCAATGCTTCCCGGAAGCCATGCTGATCCCTACCATGTTCCCGTGCCCGAAATCAACGGCGCTCGCATGCTTGAATCAGGAAACATGCGTGCATAGTCTCATCAAAGAGTTAGACCAATTTTGCGTGAAACGTGGCAAGATGGTGCATATGGTGTTGCAGGCATGTAGGCTCTGCACCACAGTAGATGCACATGTTTGAACCCTCTCCGGAGCTAGGTTGTGCGCAGTTCACTCACACACGCACATGTTTGAATGAGGAAACGGGCGTGCATTGTCTCTGAGTGAGGCCTTCCAGCATCCTAAGGGAATTGACTTAAAAGTGCCTCATCAAGGACTTCTAATTCCGCGTGCAGCATGGCAAGTAGCTGGGAAGATGGGGCTTCTAGTGTTGCAGGCGCGTAGGGTCTGCACCAAAGTAGATGAGCAAGCGGACCATCTTCCAGTTCTTCTCAGCTGCTGCCTCTTGCAAAGGGTATGTGCAGCGAAATCCCCACAAGCTCCTCTTCGGCGCGTTGAGATTCAGCTTGTCGTCGTAGGTGTCAAAGCCGCGAGCCTTCAAGAAGTCAAAGACTGTACTCCTCGCGTCTCCCTCAAGCTTGATGCGGAGAACTCTTTCCTCCTGCTCGATCCTTAGCTGCTCTTATGGCATTGCTCTGAACTTGAATCCGTTACCACAGCTTGAGTGAAAAAAGCCTGCCTTTAAACAGGCCCAAGCAGCCCAAAGTCATACTATCCCAGAAAGTGTCTTCCTGAAGCAAATATCGCTGGTCGCAACGGTATCCCGCCTAATGCTGGTGAATTCCTAAATCCTAAACCCTTAATAGTTGTTTCCATGTTCTTCTCCATTATCCCTACAGAATCCCTATATAATCCCAGTAGTTTCCATTTTCTTTTCCAGTTTCCCGCCTAATGCTGGTGAATTCCTAAACCCTAAACCCTAAATAGGTGTTTCCATGTTCTTTTCCATTATCCCTACAGAATCTCTATACAATCCCAGTAGTTTCCATGTTCTTTTCGATTATCCCGCCTAATGCTGGTGCATTCATTATCAGCCTGCAACTTGAGGCGGCCAGCTCTCCATTCGAAGACGAGGTCGGAGGAAATTGCCAGAGGCTACCTTCCCCTGGTATTGGCTGGGAATGTTACAATCCTTCTGAGGTGCTATAGGATACAGCCTGTTTTTCTTGGATTTTCCACTACAGCACCCAGCCTCGTCCCGAATCACCGGCTTTCCTTTGCAGAACCCTAGGCCCTAGATCCAACTGTGAGGTTCATTGGTATTTACAAGTTGGGTCGCCCTGAAGCCTAAACCCTCAATTAGGTAACCTTGGTCTGATCCACTCTCTGCTGTTGGGAAAGGGGGAAGGAGACGGTGCCCTCCACGAGCAGAAACATCTTGCGCGGAAAGGAGAGATGCGCATGGGGATTTGGGGGTTTGCCAAACTTAGGGGTACCTTTTTGGGGTCCCCATAATTAATAAGGATTAAAAAATATTTTGGGATCTATATTGGGGCCCCCCTATTTTGCGAAACTACCATTTCTGAACTTGCCAAAGGATACGTCGGGATGCAAGAAAGGATTCTGGGGGGTGAGGACGACGTGGGGCTTGGTGAAACGAGGCCGAACACACAAGCCCGTGAGCCCGAACCCTAAACAATAGAGCCTCGATCCTACTTAAAGGCTCCCGGGCATGTATAAAAACGGTTTGAGGTATCCAAACATTGTTGGGACACAACGATTTTTACCTTCACTCAAGATATAATATACATATAGTCCCCCTTGAGTGGATAGCATATGGCTTTGGGTATATAGTAATAACAATAACACTAATAATACAATCCCCATATATCCCATATTCTATCCACTCAAGGGGGACTCTACCCATGAACCGAGCTATCAAGTGGACCCTAGCCACTGCACCTGACCCAAATAGTAGGGTTTTAAGGCCCAAGTACCATAATATTATGGTATTTGGTCCCTAAAACCCTATTACTTGGGTCCTTGGACCCTTAGGGACTGAAAGCATCTAAACTGAGCTTTCGGGTTTGTTGGTGGTGCCCTTGTTCTCGAAGAGCCTGGACTACTGAAATCTATCTTTGAGATTTCTGAAAAATAGATATTCAGCCGCACGTATCCTATAAAAGAACTCAACATGCTAATTTACCAAATTAGGGGGACTCCCAATATAGACCCCAAAATATTATAATCCTTATTATTGGGACCCCCAAAATGGTACCCCTAATTTTGGGAAACTACCACATACCAAAGTGAGTGCACCATCTTCGCACAGAGCAGTTGCGGCAGCAATGAGCTTTAGGGATCGTTTCCGCATCGCCTACTGTTTAGGGTTTACATGAGGGCTGCAGTTTAAACCCTAAACCCTAAGCCGGTCTAGGAAGTGTTGAAGGTGAATATTTGGGCTAAAGAAATCAGCAGTGACGTTTAGTTTGTTTTTGTAACCCCTTCGCACCTTTTCTGTGCTAGCCACTGGCCCATTTAGGGTTTTTAGTGTTTAGGGTTTAGGGTCTATGTTGCAACGGAATCCCCAGTAGAAGCGTAACCTCAAGTTGGAGACTGAGTCGCACTGTGTGGCGACTTCCCAAAATTACGTCTACGTACCTTTTTGGGGTCCCCAGGGGTCCCCATAACAAGGAATGTTGGGATACTTATCGGCCACGAAAGTCCTCTGCGGAGATCATTGGCGGTTTGTTGACTTACTGCGGGTTAGTAGGAAAAACCGAATATGGGAATTTCCCAAAATTAGGGGTACCATTTTGGGGGTCCCAATAACAAGGACTATAGTATTTTGGGGTCTATATTGGGGTTCCCTTACTTAGGGAAATTACCATATATGATACAAAGATTGTATTCCCTAATTCCCTACCAATCACCCCTATGTTGAAGGGACCATTCAGGCTGTCTGAACAAGCACCATGTAGCTATCCGGTTGAAATGGAACCCGCTGCTTGAAAAAGACGACCGTCTCTTTCTCGTTGTTTCAAGGCCGGAAGTTTGAGAATGGGTTAATATGGGGACTACCTAGGGTTCAGGGTTCAGGGTTTAGGGTTAGGGGTTATATAATGACTATATAAGGGTTTTATATATGGTAATGGGATTAAGGGTCCCTTTTAGGGGTGGGCCTCTCCAGCTCACTTCGCACTTCCGCAAGTCTTCGCCATTCGTCTGCAGCTGACCAAGCTAGCCTCGAGACGGAGGCCTGCCAATGTTTGGCAGCGGAAAAACACTTTTGGGGGTCTTTAGGTCTTTCCAAGGGACCTTTGGGATAGAGGGTTTTTTGGGGTATAAAGGGAAATACTGGAGAAGTTGTCAGCCACGCAGGGATCTGGACAGTGTGTATGTGGAGTACATGCAGGGCATGCAGGGTGTTCAGACTTATGCCCATCGAAGAAGGATTCCAGATAGCTAGATGTTGTGGGAGTCTTTGCCATCATTTTGCTGGCATTTTGCTGCGATGTCTTGTCAAATAAAACTTTGTGAGCCATAGACAGTTGTGCTAACTGTTGATGCTTACAATGCTGCATGACCTTGATATACTGGAAACGCATAGTTCCCACTGTATGAGGTACTTCATGCAGGATTTGCAGTATCCAACAAAAGTGCTGTTGTGACCCTTGATCACTTTTGGTGTTTATTCTTGTTCCCATCATTCACAGCTTCTCAAAATGAGGGTGTTTTGGGGTGGATCCTCGGAATGCAGGGAAAATGCAAGGAGATTCCAGGGCTCTTTGGACAGTTGGAGTCTATTGGGGTATATAGGAATATGGAGAATCAAATGGAAAAAATACGGACAATTGAATGGAAACTGTGAATAATTATGTTCAAGCGTCATTCACGACAACTCCGAGAAAGTCCCAAAGACCCTTGAAGCCCATGTTTCTGTATATAACCCCTGCCAAGGGCCTTACGGGCATTGCTATTTCAAACCCACCAGGTATGTACACCCTAAACGCTAAACCCCAAACCCTAAACCTAAAACCCTAAACCCCAAAACCCCAAACCTAAAACCCTAACCCTAAAACCCTAATCCCAAAACCCCAAACCTAAACCCCTAACCCTCAAACCCTAACACTAAAACCCTAGACCCGAAACCCGAAACCTGGTCGATGCCTCGGACGCGCCCTCGAGGCTGCGATCTCCAACTTTGCCGAAGCCGTTGAGGCCTGTGGTACTGTGGAACCCTGAAGGATGTGTTTAGGGTTTAGGGTTTAGGGTATGTACCCATGTGAGCTGTAGGGTTGATAATACCTATTGGAGAATCAAATGGAAAAGAACATGGAACATGAAACGGAAACTGCTTTATACAGGGCTACATAAGGATCATATGAGCTATAGTCTACTCCTCAAAAAGGGGGTTATATAGGGCATTCTATAAGGAAATATTATAGAGGTTGCTAAGGGGGATACTCGGAGTTTAGACTATAGCCCATGTTATTCACTTGTAAACTGTATGTATGGCTTAGGGTTTAGGGTTTAGACCAATGTCACTCCCTTATGAGCAATTTAGGCTCCTACGGTTGGAATTTGAAGAGACGGGGGTAGTTAGCCTGAAAGCCCCTCGCGATGTTAGGTGACTTTAGCGGAAAGTGTATGGGTTCTTTTGAAAAGCTTATCTATGAGGCAATTTTTTGGCTTCAACTTGCAAACACTTGCAAGCATTATCCTCTTCGTGGCGCATGAGATCTACTGAGAGCGCCGGGGTTGTGGTTGTGGATCGTCTTGGCGAACAATAGGCCTTCTTCAAGGTCTTGTCCTTTTTTTTGGCGTGGCTCTTGTAGGCAAAGCAAGTATTTTTAGCTGTCTGGCTTTCTCTCATCGCCACACCAGAAGAAAGGATTCCCGAAACGGTCTAAGACTCAGAGAGCCCTAAACCCCAAACTTACTACTATTACTATTCTTACTATTACTAAAATTACTATTACTAATATCATTACCATTATGATTACTACGACTATAAGAACTGCTACTGAGCAAACCCTAAACCCGAAACCCTAAACTCAAAACCCTAAACCCCCCCCCGCCCCTTTTAAAGCCTCCGGTGGCTGCCATAGCCGTCACGTCTGGGGGTGGGATGTCCTCTGGCATGGCAGGGTTTAGGCATAGATAGGGATGATGTTGGTATATGAGGCCCCTTTCAAGGGCTATATAGGGGGATATATAGGGTTATGTATTCGGTTATATAGGGGTATATAGGGTTTAGGGTAGGGATCATTGGGATGATGGAAAGGATACAGGAAACTATCATTTTGGGTATAGGGCTTAGGGATATGAAGGTCTCCCAGAACCAGGGGTACTGTTTTGACCCTGCCTATAATAAGTAAGGATTATAGTATTTTGGGATCTATGTTGGGGACCTCTTATTCTGGGAAACTACCATATGTACTACTTACACAAGGATTGTATAGGAAGATATCAGGTTTATTGTTGCGGCAACAGTTGGATTTGGGTTAGGCATAAGACTTTGAGGTATGAAGGGATGTATCGTTGGATTCTAATTCATGGTAACCCAAAATGGACACCATACATATACACTCACCAATATGCCACAGCAACCCCGTGCACACGTACCAAGGCATCCGGTTTGCCTCAACCCAAAATATCTACATATGAGCTATAGTCTAAACTCCTAGTATCCCCTTAATAACCCCTATCGTAATCCCCTATATTATCCCCCATATAACCCCCCTTTAAGGAGTTTAGACTATAGCTCATATATCCCCGCCATAACCTCAACCCTAAACAACCAGTAGGGCAGTGTTCAGGGTTTGGGGCTTCAGGCTTTTGAGGGAGTCTGGGGAGGATATGACTGTTCCCTCTATGCGGCACTATAGTACTTGCAGTGAAAATGTAACCTCATGTGGTAGCTTCCCAAAATAAGGGGACCCCAATATAAACCCAAAAATACTATGGTATTATTATGGGGACCTCCAACATGGTACCCATAATTTTTGGACACCTCCGTGTTTCTTAGGAACCAGACCTTGCGTAGTTGCAGCACCCCTTGTCTAGTGGGCTCAGTAGATTCCCATTGCCCTACCACCCGGTTCAGGGTTTAGGCTTTAGGATGTAGGGGAGATTCTTCTCCTGAACCCTTCACCCACCCTCCCAACAACAGATCTCCCCGTAGTGCATCAACGCAGAACCATTTGACCTTGTCCTTTCCTTTGAGTGTCAGTCAACGAAATAACTTGGGTTACTCCCCGCACAGCCCTATGCCATATGAGCTATAGTCTAAACTCCTAGTATCCCCCTTAATAACCCCTGTAGTAGTCCCCCATATTATCCCCTATGTAACCCCCTTTAAGGAGTTTAGACTATAGCTCATATAACCACTCAAGAAACCCCAGTCTCCATTGTATTTTCGATTTGCTTTCCATTTACTAGTTGCAACTTTGGGTTTGCCCTACCTAGACCTGGCACTAACCGTGAAAGTGCAACTCCTAGTCTGAGCTGAGGACTGGAACAGGAAGAGGCTGATTTTCCCGGAGCCACCTCAAAGACCTTAGGATGCGGGAATCAAAAGGGGGGGAGGGGTACTTTTCGTACAAAGATGCATCCTAAACATCATAGTCCTCCATAAGTAGATAGAATATGGGGTATATGGAGAACTTACCATAATATGCCCAAAGCCATATTCTATCTACTGAATGGAATTATAAACTCTAGGGTTTAGTGAAAGTGCATCACCAGGTGACTGAACTCTTCTCTGACTTCATCCCTTTGTGTTCTCAGCCAGCACGGCATGCCACAGTGCTCCACAGGGTGAAACAAGGAGGGTTTAGGGTTTAGGGTTGAGGGTGAAACAAGGAGGATAAAATTGAACCAGTGGCCATTGGCCAACCATTGTCGTATTACTACTATCATGGCCATATCCTTATTACTTGTATTCTTACTATTACTGAATAATATCAAATGGACCTTCTTCGGGCACACTATGGAACCCTTGGGGATCCTAAACCCTAATATGGTGAATATGGTGGTTCCGATTAAGGATTCAAAGGGGATTCTTTGCGAAACTTGCAAGTGAACTAAAGTTCGTGATTACCCTAAATCCTATAATCCTAAATGGCTAAGACTCAATTCCAAGATTCAGGGTAATGATGACAAACGCATGCTTGTTCTTTTCACCTCATTCTAAGCTGCCTAAGTCAACTACGATGGCTACATGCGGGTTATAACTACTACCCTTATAGGGACTACTATAAGGATCTATTCCTTCGTTCCTAGCCGACCAAAGGTAAGCTTAGCCCTTTCCAGTATCTGCTTCTCATCTGCAGAAAGCTGAGATGGGCCTGCAAGTCTGCCAATCCAGCAAGCATTCGCGTCTGTCGATGCTTAGCCCTGGTCATGACACGCTCCCGCTGCATGGAGCTTGACAGTGACATATTACATGACGAAACGTAATCCAAGGCGTACCGCTGGTGCTTCCCAGAGCGGGCACAGCTTTTGGGAACTTCTTTTGTCACCCAACTGTATTTAGTCTGGAATCGGCCGACGGATCGCGCAGCACGGTCACCATAATCAAGACGCACTTGGGACTTCAGCTCGCAGGAAAACCGTGTGGAGCTCAAGCCGATCGGCATGTGGAGCATCCGTCTTTGGATAGTACCGTTAGCTATAAACTTGGAAGAGCTGCGACTTGTCTCCACTGCAGCTGCAGGCAGGTGCCTCCACTGAGAGATCAAAACGATGACAGTGACAGCGCCAGCAATACTAGCTGCCAATGCAAGGACGGTGCGTCTGCACAACCGCATCTCCATCTTCGTGAAGAACTCTACAGGTCCCCTGAGGCCCTGAGGTGGGCCCCCCTTAGCGCGCTCTTGACCGCAGATGCATGTGGCAGAAGCGTCGCCGCCTGGCATAGGATTCGGATTTCCACCCTGCAAAGAGTGGGGGTTGGCCCTGCCTTAACTCACTGGTTCTCAGTAGGGAATAAGGGAATATGATCCCTATATAGTAGCTACATAATATCTTCCCTTATTCCCTTCTAACCCTAAACCCTATTCATTCCCTACTAAGAACCAGTACATTAAGGCTTGTGGTATGGAAATGTTGGGGCATAGAAATGTCCGACCCTGGCTCAAGATTGGCTAGGGTTTAGGCTTTAGGGTTCATAGAAACAAGGTCTCAGTCCTACACTGTCTAAGGGTAATACAATGCCAGTGGTCTCTTGACCTGCTCAAATGTTAAGCCATTGGCAAATTCTTTCATACTTCTGAATGTCAAGCTTTTCACAAGTCACGTCTATGCTTCAAAAATGGCTTTTTGTAAGTATGTTTCACATTGACCCGCATTTAACAGGGGATCGTTGGGATGTTGGGCTTATTGCGGTCTTGGAACCCAGCTTAAAAAGCCAAAGCTGGCGAAAACAACACTACACATACAGAAAAAACACAACACCTAGCCCTTGAAGCTTGCCTCCCACTATCTCAGTTGGAGGCGGCCAGCCGCACCAAAACACTACACTGGAAATGTACAGATGGCATGCGCCAAAGCTTCTGCGCGCTCTGCAGGCTCATGTACTTCTTGACCTGTATTAGATGGCACACCGGCATACGTAAACCCGGGACCCTAGACCCAAGATCGGGACCTGTTTGTTCGGACGGGTGGAACCCTAGACTCCCCCAGACATGCCCCGTGATAAATGGGCTTCCATAAAGAGAGGCCTAAATATAGATCCCGATATACTACAATCCTTACCACAGTGCCTCCCAAAAAGGGCCCCTAAGTTTGAACCCCCTGAACCCCGTCAACCACTAAATCATCAAGTTTCCGTTCTATTGTTCATTTCATTTTCTATTTTCTTTGGCATGTGATTCTCCATGATCCCTAAACCCTAAAGCCAAAGTAATTCAATAGTTTCCATTTCATTTTTCCATGTTCTTCTGCATCTTTGTGTTGGCAACAGCCCAGAAGCTAATCAATTCTGCTATGGATGACTCCATTGAAGACTCATTCGATTCTCCATTCTTGGCGTAATATGTCTCTAAACCCTATATAAGCAAGTACGTGATTTTTTCTTTTTGCCATTTGTGCTGGAGAGTACTTGTTGTGCTTGCAGTTGAGGCAAGTGCGTGCTGCTTTTTTGCTGTTGGGGGGGGCGGGTGGTTTTGTTGTTGGGGTGCGAAATGGGTGTGTTTTGACTTGCTGGCTTGCCAAGGAAGGTTCAATGTGGACTGCCCGAACAACAAAAGAGCCCAAACAGCAAAACAGATAGGGCGAATTCCGTAATCCTGTGATTAAAAGTTGGCACAAGTTTGCGGCTGCGTAAGTACGAGGACATCTGTCATCCGTCGCCTTGTTGTACAGGCACGCGATAATGAACGCAACGACAAAGCTGGGCTGCACCTTGCAGCAAAACTGCTCCAGCTTTTGGGCGCTTGCAGTCTCTGCATCATGTATCAGAAGTCCAAGTTGGGTTCCGGAGGGCGTTTGCCAACAGCTTGTCTGCTCTTTCCTGATGCGCCACGGCGGCGAAGCCCCAGCTTGGGCTGCTCATCTTGCCTGGAAATCTGTATAGTTTCATTGAGGCATGTCACCATGGATCTCTCACTTAGCCCCGGGCTGCAACAACTGGGAAGTCTGAATCCATGCCATCATCCTGCATCGTGAGCATCGTCAGGAGACGCATCCTGGCTGCAAAGACTGGGGAGAAAGAGCTATGGGCTTCTTCATAGTTGCGCTGCAGACCTGATGTTCGTCATGGTTGTGACATTGGGCTGCAGCATGTCCATAGATTAAGGCTCCCTCCCTTCTACACTGTGGGCGAGCACTCAGCATATGAGCCATAGTCTAAACTCCTAGTATCCCCTGAATAACCCCTATAGCAATCTCCCATATAACCCCCCATATAATCCACTTTAAGGAGTTTAGACTACAGCTCACATCGGCCTCCACACCGCAAGCATGCCATTGGAATTTGTCGCCAGGGACAGCCAGTCCACATTTCCTAGTCACAGAAAACAATTTGGACATTAGGGGTGCCATTTGGGGTACCCAAGGATTAACGTATCTTGGGGTCTATATCAGGGTCACGATCCCCGTAGTTGGGAAGCTACCATTTGAGGTAAATGCAAACACACCAAGAGGCTGCCCGTTTGCCCTCTACCTGCAGCATGAGTGTCAGACACTTCACCATAATAGCAGCCGGCTCTCGCTCGGGTTCTGCCGCCACACCCTTTGTCCTTGCTGTTTCCTGCACAAGGAGGCGCTTGACAAAGCAGAGACTTCCTCATGATTGCTTGCGGACAGGCATTTGAAACACATAGGCCCTAACAGTTCTTTGAATACCATCACGGTTGTTACCCTGTGTGGAAACAAAGTCAGCTCAGATTGAAGATGCAATGGCTAAAGGCCGTTCCTTCGCCATGGAGTTGTAGGTCTCCTTGCCAAAGCTACAACGTTTACCGTTTTAGAAGTTGCGCAGTCATCGAATGGACAAGTGGACCCTCATCCTGCGTCATGTCGGGTGTCTGGCGTGGCCGTTCAGGCAGTGCGCGTCGCAAGTCAACTGGCTTTGCTGCCTGTCTCTGCTCCTTTCACTGGTCAGCAGAGGACACGGCTGCCAATAGAAGAGTTGCGCACCGCATGCAACTGAAACTGAGACAAACATCACCAGCATGGCAGTCAAGGTCTTAGCTCATGGCAAGTTCTAAGTGCAGCAGAGATTCCCACTTTCTGGTGCACTGCTTGATATGAATTTCCAGAGATGCTCTTCCGAACGGCTTCCCGCAAATGTGGCAAATCATAACGATGTGCTTTGGCGATCTTTCGGGAGAAGTGTCCCCGCCCAAAACATCCGGCACATCCGAGGTGGAAGCAGCTAGTTGTTCACAAATTCGCTCATGCCTTTGAAACTTCTCCTCGTCTAGGAAGGTCTGACTGCAGAATTTGCAGGTGAGCGTGTGGCAGGACTGGAAAATCTTCAATGCTGCTCGATTGTACGCATCCTGCCACAATTCGACTAGTAAAGCCTATTCGGCAAATTGCGAAGGGCTACATAGGGAGCATTCAGCAGTAGGGTTCTCAGAGCAGGCGCTGGCTTCAGCTAAAGTCTTTGCTTAGGGCTGCTAGCGGTGTCCTGCGACATCTCAGCGGTCTTTTCCGGAGGGTGGGGAAGCGGGCGTCTGTCATCTGCCGACCTTTTTGCTTCTCTCTGAGTCCACTTTTGAATGCATTGGTGCCGGTGAATGTCCTTAGCAGCAGTCAAGGTGCGTCAGTTGAGAGACATCCCTTGGGCAGCGCGTTTCGAAAGCTGCTCCGTGTCACGTTTCTAGCTCTAGAGTTCTATGTCGGAAAGAAGGTGGAAGCTTATCCGCCAGGCAGGGCAGTTCAGTTCACCACTGAGCCCGTGGCAATGCTGGCAGTTCCAAAGTCCTTGCCGCAGAGGTGGCAAGTCACCAGCACTGGCAGCACAGGCGGTGAACTGTCGCGCTCGATTTCCTCAGAAGTTGTGACGACTCGGCAGTTGGCAATGTGAAGATCCATCTTGTCGTCCGGGA